TGGATTTCCTTGCATTGGGCTTTGCCTTTCTCTGGTCCCTCCCTAATTAGCTCAATAACTAACCTCCAGAATTCTTTTTCAGGTAAATCAGGGATTTCTTCTTGGTTTGGATCCATCGCTGGTGAACTAATGTGATTTTTAGGGGGTATTGACGAGCCTCATTTTGTTGAATTATCAGGGTTGGTTTTCTGGTTCCTTCTTATTTGGGTAGGCTCTGTCAGAGGGAAGGTCTAGGGCTGAAGGCTGCCAGAATTTTTCGTACCACGGAGTGTTCCTTTGCTGTAGACTCTCCCCCTTTTCCTGTGGATGTGGCTTCCTGTGAGCTGAATTGCAGTGATTGTTGTCTCTCTTCTGGGTCTAGCCACCCAGTGAGTCTACTGGGGGTTGTCTGCACAGAGTCCTGTGATGTGAACTGTCTATGGGTCTCTCAGCCACCAGTGCCTGTTCTGGTGGAGGTGGCACAGAGTGCACTGGACTCCATGAGGGTCCTTAGCCTTGGTGGTTTAATGCTCTAGTTTTGGGCTGATTGGCCTCCTGCCAGGAGGTGAAGCTTTCCAGAAAGCATCAGCTGTAGTAGCGTGGAGAGGGACTGGCAGTGGGTGAGGCCTTAGAACTCCCAAGATTATATGCCCTTTGTCTTTCCCTAACAAGATGGATAGGGAAGGACCATCAGGTGGGGTGGGGATAGGTTTGTCTAAGTTCAGACTCTCCTTGGGCAGGTCTTGATGCAGCTGCTGTGGGAGATGGGAGTGAGATTCCCAGGTCACTGGAGTTGTGTACCTCAGGATTATGGCTGCCTCTGCTGAGTGATGCAGGTTGTCAGGGAAGTGGGGGAAAGTCAGTAGTCACAGGCCTTACCCAGCTCCCATGCAAACTGAAGGGCTGGTCATCTCACTCCCACCATGCTCCCCACCCCCACCCCCGACCCCGCCTGCAATAGCCCTGAGTCTGTTTCTAAGCAGAGGGGCAAGACGGGCTTGAAAACTTGCCCATGGCTTTCTGCCTCCCAGCTGCGAAAGAAAAGGACTTTAGTTCTGCCCCTGCCTGTGAAGTCTGCAAGCAGGATTCACACCCTCCCCCAACTTCTGGCCAGGAGACTTCTTACCCTGTTGAAATGGTTACAAAGTTCAGCCAAAGAATTCCTTCTCCAGAAAAATGATAAACTAAAGTATAATCTGCAACTAACCTCAGACGAAGTTAGCAGTAAATAGTTATCCAGAATGAAAGAGTAATATAAAAATCTCAGAAGCTTGGAACCATGGGAAAAGGGTACATGGGTGAATAATAACGGTTTGTCTAGATACAGTTTGATGCCAAAAGAAAGCATTGTATACAGAGTGGTATGAAAAGTATATCAGTTAGAAAATGATAGATTAGGTGAGTTATAGTAAAAATTAACCCCCAAATCTCAGTGGTTTTCAACAACTTAATAAAAAAGTTCACTTTGATGATGATATAATAGCACTAATATTTGATACAAACAGAGCTGATTTGGGTATGCATTCATTCAACCAATGGCAGCAGAGAATTGCCAGATTTTTTTTTTAAGTAGGTTATTATTCCTGAAATGTATCTTTCTATGAACATTAGTTTGTATATTTCATAGAGAAAATTAAAAAAATAGTTAAATAGTTTATAACTAAGAGATAGGCATTTCAAAGAGCTATTTACATGGAAATATCTATGTCAGGATATTAGGAATGCAGTCTCTGAGTAATAGAATTTTATGACTTTATTAATATTTTGTTCTTTGTGTTTTTCTGTGATTCCACATTCAATTTATATGTTATCTGCATTCTTAAAATTTGATCATAAAAATAGAATATCCATAACTTTTATGCTTTGGCCAAAGATTTTAACCTTTCACTTAGATTTTAATGTAGAAATAAATTAAAATTAAGAAAAAAAAAAAAAAAAAGAATTCCTTCTCCCTGTGGAGTTTTAACCCCTGCTCATCTGGCCACCCTCCTGATGGATCCGCCAGCAGGAATGAGCTGCTTGGGGACCCAGCAAGCTCCCAGGGCCCTTCTGTGGCTTCCTCTACCCCTGTATTTCACTTGGCTCAGTTCTCTAACTCGATTCAGCTCCAGGTAAAGTCGGAAACTTCTCCTGCCAACAGATCTTTGGCTTCTCCAGTGGAGGGGTTCTGTTTGGGAGAGGAGGGTTTCCCTTTCCCACTTACGCAGTTGGGGCACTCTCAGATTTGAGGTGCCTCCACGGGTCCTGCAGGAGCAGTCCGCTTCCTTCAGAGGGTCTGTGGGTCCTCTCAGGATTGCTGGCTTGTTCTTGCAGTCAATCTAGAGTGAAAATTCACAGTGCAAGCCTCCGCATGCTGCTCTGTCCGGAGATGCAATCTAGTCCTGCCTCCCATCCACCATGATCCCAAAATCTGTTTGTTTTAATTTCATTTAGTTCTGCTCTTAGTTATTTCTTTTCTTCTGCTGGGTTTGGGTTTGGTTTTTGTTTCTCTAGTTCCCTGAAGTGTGACCTTAGATTGTCTATTTGTGCTCTTTCAAACTTTTTGATGTGGGCATTTAATGCTATAAATTTTCCTTTTAGCACTGCTTTTGCTGTATCCCAGAGTTTTGATAGATTGTGTCATTATTACTGTTCAGTTCAAAGAAGTTTTAAATTTCCATCTTCATTTCATTGTTGTTACAATGATCATTCAGGTGCAGGTTATTTAATTTCCATGTATTTGCATGGTTTTGAGGGTTCCTTTTGGAATTGATTCCCAATTCCACTGTGGTGTGAAAGAGTACTTGATATAATTTCAATTTTCTTAAATGTGTTGAGACTTGTTTTGTGGCCTATCATATGGTCTGTCTTGGAGAATGTTCCATGTGCTGCAGAAAAGAATGTATATACTGCAGTTGTCGGGTAGAATGTTCTGTAAGTATCTGTTAAGTCCATTTGTTCTAGGGTATGGTTTAAGTCCATTGTTTCTTTGTTGACTTTCTATCTTCATGACCTGTCTGGTGCAGTCAGTGTGGTACTGAAGTTCTCCACTATTACTGTGTTGCTTTCTATCTCATTTCTTAGGTCTATTAGTAACTGTTTTAAAAATTTGGGAGCTCCAGGGTTAGGTGCATAAATACTTAGGACTATATTTTCCTGTTGGACTAGTCCTTTTATCATTATATAATGTTCTTTGTTTTTTTTTAACTGCTGTTGCTTTAAAGTTTGTTTTGTCTGATACAAGAATAGCTATGCTCACTTTTGGTGTTCATTTGCATGGAGTATCTTTTTCCACCCCTTTATCATAAGTTTACGTGAGTCCTTATGTGTCAGGCGAGTCTCTTGAAGACAGCAGATACTTGGTGAATTCTCATCCATTCAGCCATTCTGTAACTTTTAAGTGGAGCATTTACACCATTTACATTCAATGTTAGTATTGAGATATGAGGTACTTTTCTATTCATCATGCTATTTGTTGCCTGAATACTTTGGATTTTTTTTGTTATTGTTGTTATGTTTTATAGGGCCTGTAAGATTTATGCTTTAAAGAGATTCTATTTTGGTGGATTTTGAGGATTTCTTTCAAGATGAGAGCTCCTTTTAGCAGTTCTTGTAGTGCTGGGTTAGTAGTGGCAAATTCTGTCAGCACTTGTATCTTTCCTTCCTTTATGAAGCTTAGTTTCACTGGATACAAAATTATTGGCTGATAATTGTTTTGTTTCAGGAGGCTAAAGATAGGACCCCAATCCCTTCTAGCTTGTAGGGTTTTTGCTGTGAAGTCTGCTGTAATCTGATAGGTTTTCCTTTATAAATTACCTGATGCTTTTGCCTCACAGCTCTTAAGATTCTTTCCGTCGTCTCGACTTGATGACTATGTGCCTAGGTGATGATCTTTTTGCAATGAATTTCCCAGGTGTACTTTAAGCTTCCTGTATTTGGATGTCTAGATCTCTAACAAGGCCAGGGAAGTTTCCTCAATTATTCCCTCAAATATGATTTCCAAACTTTCAGATTTCTCTTCTTCCTCAGGAATACCACATATTCTTAGGTTTGACTGTTTAACATAATCCCAAATTTCTTGGAGGCCTTGTTCATTTTTTAAATTATTCTTTTTTCTTTTTGTCTGATTGGGTTAATTCGAAAGTCTTCTTTGAGCTCTGAAGTTCTTTCTTCTACTTGTTGGATTCTATTGCTGAGACTTTCCAGTGCATTTTACATTTCTTTAAGTGGTGTCCTTCATTTCCAGAAGTTGTGATTGTTTGTTTACGCTATCTATTTCACTGGAGATTTTTCCATTCATAGTCTATATAATTTTTTTTTTTTAATTTAAGTTGGACTTCACCCTTCTCTGGTGCCTCCTTGTTTAGCTTAATAATCGACCTTCTGAATTCTTTTTCTGGCAATTCAGAGATTTCTTGGTTTGGATCCACTGCTGGTGAGCTAGTGTGATCTTCTGGGGGTGTAAAAGAACACTGTTTTCTCATATTACTAGAATTGTTTTTCTGGTTCCTTCTTATTTGGGTAAGATTATGTCAGAGAGAAAATCTGGAACTCAAGGGCTGCTGTTCAGATTCTTTTGTCCCACAGGGTGCTCACTTGATGTGGTGTTCTCCCCCTTCCCCTAGGGACGGGGCTTCCTGAGAGCCAAACTGCAGTGATTATTATTTCTCTTCTGGGTTGAGCCACCCAGCAGAGCTACTGGGTTCTAGGCCAGTACTGGGGAGTGTCTGCAAAGAGTCCTGTGATGTGATCCATCTTCAGGTCTCTCAGCCATGGATATACCAACATTTGCTCCAGTGGAGGTAGCCAGGTAGTGAAGCAGACTCTGTTTAGATCCTTGCCTTTCTTTTTGTTTAGTGTGCTGGTTTTATGTTGGTTGGCCTCCAGCCAGGAGGTGGTGCATTCAAGAGCTCATCAGCCGTGGTTTATGGGGAGGATACAAGCTTGCCCTAGGGTCGCCTTTGGATAAGTATTCAGGTTTCTCAGGAAGTAGGCCATAGAGCTCCCAAGAGTTTATGTCCTTTATCTTTGGCTACCAGGGCAGGTAGAGAAAGACCATTAGGTTGGGGCAGGGTTAGGTGTGTCTGAGCTCAGATCCTCCTTGGGCAGGGCTTGCTGTGGCTGCTGTGGTGGATGGAGTGTGGTTTCTAGGCCAATGGAATGATGTTCCCAAGGTGATTATGGCTGCCTCTGCTGCATCACACAGGTTGCCAGGGAAGCGGGGGAAAGCCAGCAGCCACATGCCTCATCCAGCTCCCACGCAGCCCGCCGCAGCCTGAAAGGCTGGTCTCACTCCCACTCTGTCCCCCAACCAGCACTGTATTTCCAGGAAGCCAATGGGAACTTGCCCCAGGCCACAAACCTCTCAGCTGAGAAAGCAAGCAGACTATGGATTCTCTCAGCCCTCCTGGTATGTTCCTGTGGTAGTTCTTGGAGCAAAGGTTCATGGTGTGAGTCTCCACACACTGCTCAGTCTGTCTGGGTGGGAGCTGCCAGTTAATCCTGCCTCCTATCCGCCATTTCTCCCTCCCACTTGACTCCAACCTGAAAGTTTAATAACACACACTCTTGGTGGGGTTTTGGGCAGACTGTACATAGCAGTGGGAGTCTAAATTGACTGATATTGCTTCTAAGGAGGGCAATTTGGCAATCACAAGCCAAATCTTAGATCCATATGTTATTTTACTCTAAGATTCCACTTTTGGGAATTAATCCTAGAGATCAACTGGCTCATGTTCCACATGGCATATACACAAAATTTTTATTACAGGATACCTAGACTGGCCAAAGATTAGAAACCACCTAAATGGTCATTAATGGGGCACTAGTTGAATACATCAGTGCAATGGACTACTATGCAACTGAGAAAAAGAATGACATGCTCTCTGCACTGCAGGGAAGAAATGTCCAAGCAAAGTGAAGGACAGTCGATAGAGGGGGATAAATTAGAATTTACATTTGTATTTGCACATTGTATTTACATAAGTATAATCTGGAAGGATACAAGAAACTTTAACGTGATTGGTTACCTGTGGGCAAAAGAAAGGTAAGATTCTGGGCGGATGAGAGACAGAGGTAGGGTGACAATTTTCCCTATGTACTTTTTTATACTTCTAAAATTTGAAACTATGTGAATAATTTCTGTACAAAAGATTAAATTAAAAAATAATGTAGCAAACCGCACTGGAGATGTGGTGTTCAACTACCTACAGATTTGCAGGCAGGGGCCTCATCTTCTGACAGTTGATAAGATCTCTCTTATCCTTTGATTGCTGAGCAGTAGAAACTGATTGCTATTGATCAATTTCCTCCACTTTCTCCTGTGTCAAGGTTCTGCAGACTTCTCAGCAGACCTCTGATTCTCCCTGGTCCAGATAGTAACTCAAACCCCAGATCATCTCTACCTTGAGTTCCAGAGAATCATTCTAGACAAGGAATCAGGAAGCCTGATTCTCTTACTGGGCTGCTATGTAATCCTGGGCTAGTCACTTTTCTGCTCTGAGCTTCAGTTTCTCCATTAGTATGTGAAAAGACCTCACTTTGAGATCCTGTTCTCTGGACTACAGGTCTCCCGGAAAAGAGATGGGGAAATGGAAATGACCAGACACTGCCTGTGCTCACTTGTCCTGAGCGTGGGGTGGGGGTTGATGAAGTCAAATGTAATTTTAATTAAATATTTCCATGTGCCTGGTGGCTACGGACTTCATAAGTCTCTGTTCTGAATGGCAGCTGAGAATCCTTCAATGGAAAGGGAGGGACGGGAGGAGTCTGAGTTGGAAAAACCTGCTCTGGGGAACACCTGTCTCCCGGCACCCCAGCGAGGGTGTTCTGCATCTCTGTTTGAGTTGGGCAAGAGGGAGCAGATTCTGGGGTTCTGGGGGGAGGATGGAAGCGTCAGATTAGGCCCCTGTGAGTCCCAGGTAGCCCCACTAGCAAGAGCCTGAATCATGCCAGGGAGAACTAGAATCCTTACCAGGCATGACTGAGAAACCACGCCCTCTTTGCAGGAGCCAGACCACCGCCCTGCTTGCTGGTTTTCCTGACTCTGACAGCCTTTCTCGCAGGGCAACTGCAGGTGGTGACGAGCTCTTCCCTTGCAATTTCACATGCCTGGGCCTGACAGGAGGGTTTGGAAGATCGTTCGTTCATCCCTCATGTTCCACAAGCTGAAGTTGAGGACATTTACCTCTCTGCCAACACTGTCAGCCTCCCAGGGGACTGGCACCAGAAGGGTGGGTACAACTGATGCTGGAGCCCTAGATCTCCATTTGGAAGCTTTAGAGGCCCCCCCCCCAAGTTGCAAGGATGGTACCTGGCACAAAATAGACACTGAAAAAATAATTGTTGCACGAACAACTAACTCAATGACTGTGAGCTCTAGAGTGGGAGCACATGGGTTGGCATCTAAACACATTGCTTGCTGGTTGTGTGACATTGGACCAGGGCCTAACCTTGCTGAGCCTCACAGAGCCACTGGGAGGGTGAAATGAGATCATGCCTGCAAAGAGAGAGCTTCAGATCATGCTCAAGAGAGGGTGGCTGCTGTCATGAGGATGAGGAGGAGGATTCCACTTGACTCGGGAAGACTGGTTCCCACCCGACTGCTTTGGCATTGGTCTGCCTTCATTCTGTGTACTAGGTCAGTGGTGTGTCTCTGGAGAGACCTCAGAGCAGCTGGTGGTGTGGGCTACCCACAGCTCCTCCAATAGAGTGTGTATCAAACTTTGTTTTTTCCCAATCATATAGGTGAACTATAGTATCTTGGGATGGTTAATTTGCATTTCTCTAATATTGATGGAGGCTGAGCACCCTTTGACCATTTTAGGAGACATTATGTTCACTGCATTTGTCCTGCCTTCTGCCTGATAATGGATCAAAGCTCTTTTTCTTCTAATGTGGAAAAACTTAATACAGAAAAGTAGAGAGAATCATTGGATCAAGGCTCTAGAGCTGTACTGTCTAATAGAAATTGATGTGGAAATGGGAATGTTCTAGAGCTGTACTGTCCAGTATGGTAGCCACTGACCACACACGGCTATTATTTTGAAATGCGGTTAATGCAACTGAGGAACTGAATTTTAAATTTTATTTAATTTTCTTGAATTTGTCAACAGCTACATGTGGCTACTGTATTTTGATAGCACAGCTCTAGAGGCAATAAAGCTGGCCAGGCGCAGTGGCTCATACCTGTAATCCCAGCACCCGCCAAGGCGGGTGGATCACGAGGTCAGGAGTTCGAGACCAGCCTGGCCAACATAGCGAAACCTCATCTCTACTAAAAATAAAAAAAGTAGCCGAGTGTGGTGGCGGACACCTGTAATCCTAGCTACTCGGGAGGCTGAAGCAGGAGAATTGCTTGAACCTGGGAGGTGAAGGTTGCAGTGAGCCAAGATTGTGCCATTGCACTCCAGCCTGGGTGACAAAAGCAAGACTCCATCTCAAAAAAATAGGCTGGGCATGGTGGCTCATACCTGTAATCCTAGCATGTTGGGAGGCCGAGGCGGGCAGATCATAAGGTCAGGAGTTCGAGACCAGCCTGAACAATATGGTTGATGCCCCATCTCTACTAAATATACAAAAATTTGCCAGGCATGGTGGTGGGTGCCTGTAGTCCCAGCTACTCAGGAGGCTGAGGAAAGAGAATCACTTGAACCCCGGAGGCGGAGGTTGCAGTGAGCTGAGATTGCGCCACTGCACTCCAGCCTGGGCAGCAGAGCGAGACTCCATCTCAAAAAAATAAGTAAAAATAAAAATAAAGCTGACATCTGGAGTGTCCTACACTCCAGGAGACTCTGAACCGTTTGTCAAAGGTAGATGACAATAAGAGACAGTCTGTCAAGCCCAACAGCATTCCTGCCCAGGAGTACGCTGTGTAGAGGGTAGCACGTGGGGTACTCACCCAGAAAGGTCCCGAGCCCCGCCCAAAGACTCCTGACTTCCAGCCAGGGCCCTCGTCCACACCAGGCCCTCAAACCACCTGAGCAGGACACTTCTGGGCAGTGGTCTGCGGGCAATCCTCATATTGTCCTCACATGACTGAGAGTCACTGCTTCTGGCATTCAAGTCCCCTGGTGATGAGCCCTGCCCTCCTGTTCAGCCCACTGCCCTGGAACTTAGGGGCCTGCGTTGCCCACTCATAGCCTAAGTATCTACCCCAGATCTACCTTACTTCTGCTTAGGGCCTAGCCTCTCATACAAGGGGCCAGTGGAGCCTGTAAGTGACACTCCTCCTCATGCCACACCCTGTTCTCACAGATTGTAAAATATCCGGGCAAGACCCTGATCCCACCAAACTGAATCTTCCTCCCTTGACGATGAATGGGACCAGGCCTGTTTACCAGAGGAGCCATTCACAATCCACTTATTTGAGGAAATCAGTGATCTTGTTTATGTCCATTAATCTGAGACCTTGATTGCAGAGGGCTCTAGGGGCTCCATTCCAAAGCCCCCAACACATGGCCAGCTAGCTAGGTAATCTCTCCACCCTGACTGGGCCAGCGGACGGCAGGTTTCCCAGGACTAATCAGCCGCTGAGATGTGACGTCCCTGTCTGAGCTGCGGCCAGAGAGGAGGGTGCCCTGGACAGGATCCATCCGGGAGGCTGAGAGCACTCATGGGGAAAGGCAGCATGAATTCCAGAAAAGACCAGTGTCCCGGACCTCTGGACCTACATCGAGGGCTCCATTCCTCCGAGCTGCCACCAAGTACTCTATTACGTGAACCTCCAGGAGGACAAGGACCACTGACTGTGTGTCCCAGCAGCTCCCACTCCAGGTCCCGTGCCATCACAGAAGCTCAGAGAGTAGCAGCAGAATTAAATACAAGGCCCCACTAAATTGGAATTTTAATTTTAGCCCTAAGATGAGACAAGTTGAAAGATGACTTTAGAATTATCCCCAATTAGACAACTGTCAACCTAAATAAAAAAGAGAGCCTCTCCAAAAGAAAATGGTTATTTGGACCGGGTGCGGTGGCTCACGCCTGTAATCTCAGCACTTTGGGAGGCTGAGGCGGGCAGATCACCTGAGGTCAGGAGTTCAAGACCAGCCTGACCAACATGGATAAACCCTGTCTCTACTAAAAATACAAAATTAGATGGCGTAGTGGTGCATGCCTGTAATCCCAGCTACTCGGGAGGCTGAGGCAGAAGAATCGCTTGAACCCAGGAGGCGGAGGTTGTGGTGACCTGAGATTGTGCCACTGTAGCTGGGACTACAGGCATCCACCACCACGCCCGACTAATTTTTTATATTTTTAGTAGAAACGGGATTTCACCGTGTTAGCCAGGATGGTCTCGATCTCCTGACCTCGTGACCCACCCACCTCAGCCTCCCAAAGTGCTAGGATTACAGGTGTGAGCCACCGCATCCGGCCGGAAGACAAAGGTTTTTAAAGGTAAAATGAGAAGGA